CGCTGTCCCTCAGCTCTTCAGCTCAAGGCTAGCGCTCTACCACTTGAGCCACAGTGCCACTTCCGGCTTTTTTCTTTTTGCTTATGTGGTGCTGAGGAATAGAACCCAGGGCCTCATGCATGCAAGGCAAGCGCTCTACCACTGAGCCACCTTCCCAGCCCCTCTCTGAGCTTTTTTGCTCAAGGCTAGTGCTCTAAACCACCTGAGTACCAGCTTCATTTTCGGCTTTTTGATGGTGAATTAGAAATAAGAGTCTCACAGACTTTCCTGCCTATTTCCTGCTGAGGCTGGCTTCAAACCACAATCCTCAGATCTCAGCCTTCTGAGTAGCTAGAATTACAGGTGTGAGCCACTAGTGCCTGACCATTACTATTTTTGAATCCATTCTTTTAGAGTTCTATGTTTAGTTAAGCATGCAGACAAGAGCAATATTGCTAGGTTATCTGTACTTCCAAGTCTTCATCTGTTAAATGGTTGACAATATAAGTTTAATAGAGTAATTAAGTTGAGCTTTGTAAAGTGATTACAACAATGTCTGACATGTCATGAATAGAATTAATGCCTTGTAATAATACCTTGTTTTTGATATCTTAGAGTCCATTCCAAACTCCTCAAGTTATAAAAAGTATTCTGTATTTTCTCCTAAAAGTTTTGTTTTATTCAGTGTATTTAGATTTTTTTATTATTATTAGTATTCCAGAGCTGGGATTTGAACTCAGGGCCTCACTTTTTTTTTTTTTTTGCTGTAGGCTAGAACTCTACCACTTGAGCCACAACTCCACTGTTAGCTTTTTGGTGGTTAATTGGAGATGAGTCTAATTCTTGGCCGGGCGCTGGTGGCTCACGCCTGTAATCCTAGCTACTCAGGAGGCTGAGATCTGAGGATCGCGGTTTAAAGCCAGCCCGGGCAGGAGAGACCATGAGACTCCAATCTCCAATAAACCACCAGAAAACCAGAAGTGGTGCTGTAGCTCAAGTGGTAGAGTGCTCGCCTTGAGCTGGAGAGCTGAGGGACAGCGCCCAGGCCCAGAGTTCAAGCCCCATGACCGACCAAAAAAAAGAAAAAAGGAGTCTAATTCTTGCCTGGAATAGCCAAGATCCTCAGAAGCTAGAACTACAGACAGTTGTGGCTACCAGTGCTTGGCTACAACAACTTTTCAATACTAATAACACTTTAGAGATCTCATTACCTTCTAGTCATGACCTTTGGCCAGAGTCATGTTTGAAAGAATGAGTCTAAAAGTCATGATAAATGTGAAGAATAAATTTAGAAGAAGGTGATAGAGCCAAGCATAGTGTTGCATGCCCAGCTATTCAGAAAGTGGGACAGGACGATTGTCTTTTGAGACCAGCCCAGGTAAATTAGAGGTAGAATGACTACTGCCTAGCAAGCTCAAGGCCTTGCATTCAATTGGCACTACCACAAAAAGAAAAAGAAAAAAAAAAGTGAGGGTGGGAATGTGGCTTAGTGGTAGAGTGCTTGTGTAGCATGCAGGAAGCCCTAGGTTCGGTATTTCTCAGTACCACATAAACAGAAAAAGCCAGAAGTGGCACTGTGGCTCAAGTGGTCGAGTGCTAGCCTTGAGCAAAAGCAGCTTAGGGACAGTGATGAAGTCAAGCCCCTTGTTGACCAAACAAAAAAAAGAAAAAGAAAAAAGTGTTAAATGTGAAAATAGAAGTTAGAGGTGTGGAGAGGTGGCAGTTAGTGGGTGAGGCTTATGTTTTAAACTTAAAGTTGATCTCAGAATCTGTCTTGTGCATATTACATTTTGTTGCACAGAAAAATAAGAGGTAGATGTGTGAAGTCATTTCATTTTTGGAAAGATGGGAAGGATATGGGAAAAGATCAAAGGAGGAAAACCTAGTCCAGATATGTTAGTCATCAGAATTTGTTTTATGTGTGTGTGCACGTGTATGCGTATGCACACATATGCACATACATACCTATACTAGAGCTCCAACTCAGGGGGCCTGGAAACTGCCTCTTAGTTTTTTTACTCAAGGAGAGCACTCAACACTTGAGCTACAACTCCCTTTCCAGAGTTTGGGTGGTTGATTGGAGGTAAGAGTCTAGTGGTTGGCTTTGAATCACAATTCTCATATTTCAGCCTCCTGAGTAGCTAGGCAGCATTATGTTTCCAAAACAGAAATCTCATGTCCTGAAGCTTCAGCAGGGGGATCAGGAGTTCTAGGCCAGCTTGGTCTACATAGCAAGACCCTGTCTCAAAAAAAAAAAAATCAAAACGAACAAAAAGTAACCCACTCCTGGCTTCAGGAGCAGTCCAGCAGGAAAGGGTCTCAGAATCTTCTCAGCCACTCGATTAAAATTCTCTAAGATTTCTTCAATCCTTCTCCTCAGCCTCCTCTCTCCTGTAACACTCCGTTCAGAACAGGATGTTCCTTGCTTTTCTCCTTTGAAATGCCCTTTCTCCACTTCTGCCCATCCTTCAGAACGCTTGTCCTCAAATTTCCTTTCCTCTGGGCAGCCTTCACTCCTCCCCCACACTGGCCAAGCAATTTATTTGCTTTAAGTTCTGACTCATACCTCTATAATAACATTCCTGGGATCAAAATACCTGTTTCTATGTCTCCTCAACTATATCCCAGGAGGCAGGGACCATGGTAAATCGTTTGCCTCCAAATTATCTGACAGGGACTAGCATAACACATGGATGGATGGATGAATGGATGGATGGATGGATGGATGGATGGATGGATGGATGGATGGATGAATGGATGGATGGATGGATGGATGGATGGATGGATGGATGGGAGGGACGATGAGGAAAATTTTAAAGGGACCCTGTGAAAATCGAAGACACCAGGGGGAGCTTAAACACCACATCATATTAAGTGTGAAGGCGGGATAAGCCAGGCAGCAACCCCATGGAAGACGGTGCTCACGGAAGCAAGTATCACGCATAGGAACCGCTCACCCACTCCCCAGACCCGGTCTGCGTTCTCCGCCCCCCGCCCCCTCCCCCCTCCCCGCTCTTCCCCCCCCCCCGGGCCTGGACCGCCACAGAGATAAGCAAACAAAGGGGCGGGGCCCTGGCGCGCTCCGGACGCCGTGGCCAATCAGTGGACCCTGGTCCCGTGAAGGCTGACGCCTTCGTTTCAAGGGGTCCAATCGACTTCTAAAGGGCTGCGGCGGGGCGGAGAGCTGGGCAGGAAGGGCTGGAGCGAGGCTGGCGCGCGCAGGAAGGGCTCCCCCGGGGAGATCGAGGGCGGAGGCGTGGGGGCGGAGTCGCCGCCGTGCGTGTCTGAGAGCGGAGGGCCGGCCGGCCGCCGCGGCGCGCGAGCG